TGACGCGGAACTTTTGGCTGCGACAAAAAAATCGACATAAAAAAAAAAAAAAAAAAAAAAAAAAAAAAAATTGACATACAGTCTGACAAAACAATTCATATACACAGTATGTGGCCTATGTTTAATCTCTCGTCTTATTGATGTGATAAAACAAATATTAATCTCTCTATTGTCGATTAAATAGATATATTAAAACTTTATTGTATTATGCGTNAAAAAAAAAAAAAAAAAAAAAAAAACAAATTCTAATATCAATTAAAATATTTTATTATAATAAAACTTTTATAATATTTGTTTAATCTCTCGTCTTATTGATGTGATAAAACAAATATTAATCTCTCTATTGTCGATTAAATAGATATATTAAAACTTTATTGTATTATGCGTCTTATACAACTGTCGGCGTTCGTTAAATGTAGGTAAAGATCGCGCGGCAAACACTTGCGTGTTTCTTCTTGTGTGAATTAATCGGAAATTATCGTCGTCACGTATCGTCGACTATCACCGGTCGTCTATGAATTGGCCTCTCGCTAATAGAGAACGATCGTATCCCTCTATACGTCATGCGCGACTTCAACCGTCTTTTAATACAAACGCGGCGCGGATCCGAACGTTTGCCGACAGTGCCGGTGGCATTTAGGATTCGTGTCATCGTGCTCCGCGCGGTGATACTTATTGCGCAAGATGCGCCTTTAGAGCCGGCAACGACCTCGCGCGCGCGCGCGGTCCAACAGGATTCTTGCGAAATTCCCCGACTCGTATGCGAGTTCCCCTCGTCGAAAAGAGCGTATGTGTACGTACTCCCGTTTTTAGCGACCGTTTTTCTTTTTCAAGAACTTGGACGGTCGCTTTCCGGAAAAGATTTTTTTTGCGACACTCGATGTTTTTTATTTAGTTTGCGTTTTTCTGTAGTTTTCTCTCTCCTCTTTGAGATTTTTCAACAAACTCGCGTCTGGATTTTCTTAATCGCGGGAATAAATTTTACGCGTGTAAAAGTTTTGACAAAGCTGCGCGTTGACGTGATTATTAATTGCTTCGGCATCGAGCATCGATCGGGGATTATGTGTCCGCGCGGATAGAGTCCGGACAAACACGCGGTTGTTGGCGAGGATCTTTGCGTAACGCAAAGAGGAGGACGCGATAGAGAAACAACTCGCATCTGCTTGATAATGGTCACGCATAAGTTTTGCACTTCTCTCTCTCTCTCTCTCTCTCTCTCCTTCGCGTTCACAAATTGATTATACAATAATATCGCATATATATTATCCAGAGAAGATGCACACAAGACGCAAAAAGGAAAAGTTATCGCGTCGCATCTGACACACCACGGTCTTACACGTCTGTGTGTTGGTGCCGTAATATCAAACACATGGCCGCGTACCACAGAAGTCGTCGGACTTTAATTAACTTTAACGCGCCGCGAGACGCAAACACGAATTATTAAATCGAAAATACGGAGATGAGATTATTCCCTTCGTTTAGTCGCGGTTTTTAAGTATATCAATTAAACGAGCGGTAATAGATCCATCTCGAGTATTTAATCGACCTGTCGCAGTGGCTGCGATCTTTTCAAGCCCGCGGCGCGCTTGCGTGGGATTAGTCATAAATACGGATAATTACGATGTGGTTACATTCCGCTGTGATATAGACGTTAGGTTTTGCGCGTGACATAACGTTACGACCGTTTTGCGGGTTTGTCTGTGCGTTTACACAGACGTTGCAAGAAAGTTCAATAGGGAATCCCGGATGTGTGACAACGCACACACACACACACACACACAAATAATATGTATATGTATTATATAACGAGAGACACGAGCGCGTAATTAAAATGCTCAATGTGTAAAATAAGAAACACCGTTCGTCCAAAAGAATTAAATAGTTTTCGCGCAACGTGCACTGAGAAAAAAAAATTGTCGAAGTAACAAAATAGTATTTGATTCAACTATATGCAGCGGTCACGAGCTGTCAATGAAAAATAAAAAATATTGATTAATGTAAGAAGATGATCATGTTTATAATAGATATAATAATTAGATTATACCGAAAGATTTATATATATATATATATATATATATATATATATATATATATAGTTGTTTTAACAAAATTATAAATTTGCTTAAATACAGGTAACTTTGAATGACAAAGACAACAGGACAACGCAATATTTTGTCTGCTTATAAAATTAAGCAGTTTGATCAGATAAAATACTTAGTACAAAGAAATTCAGATTATAATAAATTAAAATTATAGTAAATATTTCAATTAAAGTTCAATTAAAGATTATAGTAAATATTTTAATTAAAGTAAATGAGAATTGCCTATTTCATCTTTTTTAACGGTATCTTTTGTTTGAAATTATCATAACTTATGTTCGACAAAAAACAATTCATGATTTAGTGAATTAAATATGTTCATTACCGCTATTGTTAATTCAACTTAATACGAATTTGTTATCTTTATTACTATATGCTTGAATTAAAAAAAAAAACAAGTATTTCAGATAAAACAAACTGAAACTCAACTAAACGCATTTAGTTGAGTTAATAGTATTTTTTTCTCAGTGTAGAAATTACGCGTGCGTGATAATAACGGCAACTTGCGATTACGCACGTCCTAACCTAGTGATTTGTCGCGTTATTAAATAGTTTAAAAAATTTTTTCTCTGAAATATCATCGATGTAATAATAATAGATACGTAATTGTCGAAATAAATCCAATATGTTGCTCCATTCAATTGCGCGACGATTATGCGAAGAGAATCGAAGACGCGTGGCATCATTCACTTGTATCCTCCCACGAAGAGAAGATCCTTCCTTTCTATAATATACACCACTCTCCTTCTTCTCTTCTCTCTCTCTCTCTCTTTCTCTCCTTCTGCGTCTCGATCATTAGCATAAGCCACTCTCGCTTATATAACCGCACACTTTCTTTCTAAAGCCGGACCGATGCATCACCTCTCCCCCTCATTACTCGATGATATAATTCGTGTCAATCGATGAGATTACGGCGCGAGACATAAAGATAAATGCGCGACACCGGAGAAAATTCTTCTGAATATTTTGAAATTTTTTTTATAAAACGGGACCTTGACTATATATATATATATATATATATATATATATACGGCTAATACATAACAATTTTTTTGTTTTTAATTCCGACATGCGAAGAAGAATATTTCTGACTGACGTTAACTACGAGACCCGGAAATTCATTGTAATATTTATTGTAAAATAAAAAAATATTATAATGCAAACATTATAACGAGCACGACATTGAGAATTCTCTCGGATCTTGTTATTAAGTAATCATTAGTGTAGCAATTACATTAATATCCGTGACATACATGTGCAAACACACACGCACTTACACACACACAGAACACAGACGTGTTGAATGAATAAAAGAACAAATTGCTTTTACCGCGTGGACCATTTCGAAGCGTCACGCAATAATTGATGAGTCGAGAGAAGAGTCTCACCTTCAGAAAAACGAAGGAGATTTCTTTGGGAAGGCGACACACACACACACACACTCCTCGCTGTTCATGTATTTTTCTGGGAGATTATGTTTTACATAAAAATTCCGTCTTCCCGGTTCGGAAAGTAAAAAAAATAAAAAAATAAAAAATAAAAAAATAAAAACAGAACCAACTCTTACAGTTAAATTCTTTGAATATTGGAACGCGCGTTATTATCCAACTGTTACGCAATCGGAGACGTAATCAAATATATCTTACGAGAGAGAATCGATGCGGCTACGGTTCTTCTGAAGGCGGATAAAATAGTCAGCGGTAGTAAGAATGTATTAATTGACTCAATTATACCAGATATCATATTCGTCCGCATGTTTGGCTTATTTCGTGTGTGAGAAAACAAAAACCAGTTTTCTCTTGTACGATAAATCATTATTGAGAGAATTTACTATGTAAACAGATTTATATTTTCGTTTCACCAATTGCGTTATACCGTTGCAACGTCGTGCATTTTTCCGAATCAAAAAAATGTCAAGTTTCTTTCGAATAGCAATTTGTGCGAAATCATCCGTGTTCGCAATTTTCTCGCGTTTTCCATTAAAAAAAAATTAAAAAAACAAATTCTATTCCACAGATATAGTGTGACGCAATGTTAAATTTATGCTTGATGGATTATCCACTCGAATTCATAGAATTTAGTTAGCCGGTATTTGATACATTAGCGGCGCACGTTTGTATTATAAATGTCCGCGTGAAGACGAGTCGGTGAGTTGCGTAACGTGAAAAAAAAAAAAAAAAAAAAAAAATTATACGGGAGACCACCACCGGATTAAGCCGAGAGGGATAAATGCGCGGAGAGGAAAGGGATTTACGCGAGTAACCTTTAACGAGGCCTAGTTCCTCCAAGTGCATCCGAGATCGCCGCCGTGCGAGACTCTCGCGTATTATCTGCGCGCGCGCATCTCTCACTCCCATATTTGGCGTAACGATGCAAAAAGTATTGCAACAAATAAATATAAAGGTAATAAAAAAACGTGAGGTTCGAGCGAGCTAATTTTCTCTTCGTGGAGAGAATTTTGAGCACGCGATTTATTTTATACTTTTGTTCTGAACATTCTGAAATTCCGCATTATGCGCATCCGTACTTTTAACTTCAATCGAGATAAGTTTGTTTATAATTAGCGACGGTATTTAAATCGAACAAATTGTTTTTTTTTCTTTTTTTTTTTCAAGCGTCGATCCGTCGCGTCGTTTTACAGGTGAAACGATGATTCCCCCGACATCTTCCAGCTGCGGTCGGTCGGATGCCCCGCCTGACATTCCTCGCGGGGCCGCACACCGCGATCTCGTGTGTTGTGCCATCATCTCCTCCCCCTGGGCTGGTCATTTAAGGATTTCGACACATGGAACATGAAAATTTTGGTAGCGAACGATCGTAAGGCAAGGAGAGAGGGCGCAATTCGGGCATCGCAATTCCGGCTATATATATTCGCCACCGGCCGTGTGTCGAATCAGTCTAGTGAGCCATCTCAAAAAGAGCCCAGGTCCTCGTTTACCTCTCGTTTTCTCCCAGATAAAACAAACGCCGCACCAGACGTCTCCCCACCCCGTCGCCAATCATGAAACTGGTGCGTGTCAAATTGCGTTTCCTCACTGATGATATTTTCGAGCAGACAAAAAAGTGCTTGCGGTATAACTTACTACAAATCGCTCAGTGAATCTTCTCGCGTTCGGAAGTTTCCGAGTTTTTCCGAAACTGTGCAAGTTTTTTTTTTTTTTTTCGAAATTATCGCGAATCTATCGCACGCGCGTGTGGTGATAATATCATTTTATCTCGGAATCTCTTGCTCGTTCGATCTTTTGAGGATTTACAAAACGTGTTATCGAAGTCGATTAAATCAACCCTGTTACTTCTTTAGAAGACGAACGTGCGGATTATCTCGCGCAAATTTAAAGAAAAATTGAAATTATAACATTGTTATATTGTTCTCTCAATGAAAAAAAAAAAAAAAAATTAAAAAAGCACATTGTTTTAATTCATAAAATTTCGATCAGAATTGTTTACCGGATTGTTTTCTGATTGTTTGCTCTTTATATTTCTTAGATCGCCGTTTTCGCCGCTATCCTCGTCGTCGCCCTTGCGGCGCCCCAGGGTCGTCAGGACAACAGCCAGATCGTGCTCGTGAAGGAGACTCCGTTGGACAACATCGGCATCGACGGTTACCAGTACGCGTACGAGCTGTCGAATGGCCAGTCCCATCAGGAGTCCGCGCAGCTTCAGAACGCCGGCCAGGAGAACGAGAGCCTCGTTGTTCGCGGTAGCTACACTTACGTCGATCCGGAGACCAACGTCAGATACACCGTCAATTATACCGCCGACGAGAACGGTTTCCATCCCGAGGGCGCGCACTTGCCGTCCGCCTAAAAATCCTAGCGGAAAAAAATTTTCTTGTCTGTAAAATAAAATTCATAACTGTGTGTAAATAAAATCTTTCCGATCGTACATATATATTTCTCAAATTGTGCGGCTACGTTCGAACGAAAACTTAAATAATAATTTTTGTTTCCGTTTTTTTCTCGATCGTAGCGATACGAGTTTTCCATGACAAACTTATGTTTTAGTTCTAAATAAATCCATTTTTAAAGTTTTACATAGTTTTTGTTTCTTTGTTACCTTACAATCTTCAAATTGAAAATATTGTTCGAATTGATTTAATTGATCAATGGCAAGAGTAAAACGAGATAAATCCAAAAGAATAAAACAAACCTTGTGGATTTAACAAATATTTGATTCAAGCAAACAATTTGTGTCATTTTGTTAACCAATTAATTTGTCGGATTAATTGCGTAGTTCAATTATGCGATAAAAGTACGTTTATAGAATGTACACATATCGAGTAGGAAATTATAACATGTTATTAATAAGTAAGTATATATATATATATTATTATATTATTTACGCAACAAACCGTGTGTGATAATGAAATACACGTAATACTATCGGATATACAATTTGAATATCAAATTAATTTTACGATCATTATATCTAATCTAGTGCAATATAAAATTATATCCTCTTAGCATTTTGTCACGTTTGAATAATACAATCAAAATATGCAGAATAAAATCATAATTCTTTAAAAATTCATTGAGAGACCTTTTAATTGTTCGTCACATCTGTTTTGCATTTTATGCGGTTTTGCATCCTCGTTCTTTCAACTTACATTATTTCCTGTACAAAAACCAGAAGTGGAATAATAATGACGTTTTTTTTTGTAAAAGTCACCTGTGATGTGAGAGATTGTTATAACATAGAGAAAAAAATATACGCGAAAGAGAGAGAGAGAGAGAAAATCTTCAGGAATAAATTTATTTTGTAAATGTCACATTTCTTTCAATTCTTTTTACGCGATAATAATAAATTACAAATTGTTATTTATATTTATAATAAAATATATTTTCAACGAAACGAAGAGATTGTAAATATTCGAATCTGTTTTTCAAAATATTTTATCTTAAATGAATAATTAGTTATAATAATTAATTTTAATTGTCTCAAATGTGTTGCCGTTCTTTTATATTAATAATTTCTCAGTTGCAAACGTCTAATGATAATGACACTAATGACGTCGAGATATTCTTAAACTATTTATGTTAATTCATGTAATACATTTAAAAGTCACGGATCTTTGAATCTTAATTACACGCCTATCACACGACGAGACACGTATTGCATCCACCGCATTTCGCAATAATAATAAAAATAAACAGCGAAGGAATCCGAATTGATTAAGCCTAAGAGTAGTTTCCCTTGATCGCGCGCGTACCAGAAGTTTAAAAATATTTCTACATAGAGCTGCGGTGCGCGACGGGGGTTTCAAGGTTTCAACGAACATATCGTTACTCGAGGGCTGCTGAAATTTAGCCGATGGGGATAACATGATAATGAGACGATTGCGCATGTAATACAGCAATATGGGTTTTTTTTTTCGTAATAAAATATAACACATGTGACTATCCACCAAGGTCCTTCAATTTTATTTACATCCGTGACACTTGGTTCGTAAAAATTATTATGCTTTTTTTATCCCGAAGGTTGCATCGATAATTGATGATGTTTAAATTCAAGTTTAGGTGAATCTCTCTCTCTCGTCTCACTCATCATACATAAATTTGCATAATTTGATGCTTGACATAAATTTTTTTTTTTTTTTATTGTTAACTTAATCGAGATATTGTTTCTATGCCACATCGTAAAATGTTGGTTCGAGCGAAAAATTGCTTAATGATCACCTTTCGCTTATACTTGCTAATTAGAATGCACTTGTATATGTTTGTCGTTGATAAGAAAATTGATAAAAAAACAAATTCATTTATTATCGCAAATTAATTAATTTAATAGTAAGCTTATTTTTTTTTTAAAGAAAACAAATCCGGAATCACAAGTTTCATCGCGCTTCTTGGACAAGTTCTCCCACGATATTTCGATCGATACGCGTATTAACGACGTGAGATAAAAGACTAAGATGACAAATAAATTAGCGTGGGCTCGAAAAAAACATTTTTGGCAGAAGGAAGGAGAAGCGCTATAAAATCCATCTGAATTCAGGTGTGTCACATCAGTCTCCTCTTACGAACAAGAGCAACTGCACGCGCCCCCATCATGAAAACGGCAAGTAGATATCTGCGCGACCCGCGCGTAATTAAAATATATTTCGCGCGAAATATATCGAACAAAGATCGATCGCAGCCGGTCGATCAATTTCGACTCGAGCTAATTTTGCAAATTGCTAATTGAATTTCTTATTAAAACTAACGCATTTTTTTTTTTTATTATTCAGATAGTTGTTCTCTGTGCTGTTGTGGCCGTCGCTCTGGCGGCTCCGCTTCAGTCGAACACAAACGAAGTGGTTGTTGTGAAGGAAACACCATTGAACAACATCGGCCTTGACGGATACAATTACGCTTACGAACAGTCGGACGGCCAGGCCCATCAGGAATCCGCTGAGGTGGTGAACGCCGGCCGGGAGAACCAGAGCCTCGCCGTTCGCGGTAGCTTCACCTACGTCGATCCGACGACCAACGTCAAATACACCGTCAATTACACCGCCGACGAGAACGGTTTCCATCCCGAGGGCGCGCACTTGCCTTCCTGAATGAAAATTTTCGAGCGATTGTAAATATAACGGCTTTTTTGCAAAATGAATTGTTTTGTTGCTCCAAGTTTCCCCAAAGAGACATTTCCGCCGACGTTTCGATTTTTTTCTTTTTTTTTTTTTATAACAAACAATAAAAACTTCCGCTCTCTTGTAAAACACCTCTGTGATGTGCCGTGTGTTTTTGGCTCGAACAATTTTTTTGTAAATACTTAATAAAAAAAAAACTTTAGTTTGCGCAGTAACTTGTGCGTTTTTTTGATTTTGAATGTACATATTATAAAAAAAAAAAAATAGAAAAGATACATACCGACATTTTACGGAAATGTATATCGTACGCGAGTGTTGTACACGTTGTGGACTCTTTCCACAACTCCTTCATTGATGTTCTCATTGCTGTTTACAACACTCGCGTCTCTCCAGCTGGCACGGTAGGTGACGCTGTCGTCGTCACAGAAAACTCGTGTCTCTTCTGTCTTCGTGTGTTGAAAAGCCCTTCCCTTCTGTCGTCAAAATGAGACCCTTTAAAAGCGTTTGCTTAACGTCAACGCGATGAATCATCGAATGCGCCGGTAAAATTCCTATAATTTTGTTTATTTCTCGCGTCTTCAACATTGTCGGTATACGTTGATTGCGAAAAAAAACATTTCCCACGTTGTGACAAAAACAGAGGTTAGATCTGTATCTGGTGAAACGATAAAGTTTCTCTTGTGTTCTTTCTTGTGTTTGCTTCTGTATCACATTTTTCATCTATAAAACGCGAACGCGTTCTCGAACACGTTGCTCGTTGTAAGCGCGAAGAAACGTTGACGCACTGACGAGGAACGGAATCCGTGCGATGTGATTGCCGCCGATCGCTTCAGTCGGATTCGCAATCAGAGCAATCCGGACATCACAATCCGGGGGGGGGACAATGGCGAAATTTCGGATGCTGCCGCGCACGTCGCGCATCGTAGCGCTCTGTTCCGCCGCGAACTTCATCAACGCCGCGGACAGAGTGATCATGCCAATCGCCATCGTCCTCATGACCGACGAGTTCAAGTGGAATCTTCACTGGCAAGGATGGATCTTGTCCGCTTTCGCTTTCGGATACTTCACAAGCCAGGTAAAGCATTGAGATCTGTGATCATCATCGTCTCTGTGTTCGCGTATCGAGTAAAAGTAATCAATATCATCTTCTCTGGTTTTGTCTTTCAGATCATTGGTGGAAGTACAGCAAGTAGATTTGGCTGCAAAACAGTGCTCATGTTCGCCGTTATGTTGTGGTCCATCAGTACAGTCATGACACCACTGATAGCGCAGTCAGTACCGTTACTCATAGTCTGCAGAGTAGTTCTAGGACTGGGAGAAGGATTAGGTAAGATCAAATATAGATGTGAAGTGATCAATAAACACATGTTAATTGACACTCAATGTTATCTTGCAGGCCTACCAGTGATATTTCATTTATTTGCGCATAATGTTCCTGTGGAGGAAAGATCACGAGCTTTTGGTTATCTTGTGGCCGCCGGTTCCGTGGGCCAGGTGGTCGCGTCTATCGTAAGTCCAATGAATCTTTTTTTTAAAATATTGAAACTTGAGAATAAGAGATTATTATTATAATTTACAAAGAGTAAAAATATTTGATTTTTCTTCTTCAGATATGTCCGCACTTGGCTTGGCAAACTGGATTCTACTTGTTTGGAACAATAGGTATTTTGTGGACCGTTCTGTGGATGATGTTGTATCACGAGACCAACTCTCAAGATGAAATACCGTTATTTGTTCCCAAGGTAATAAAGCCTACGTCCCGTAGTTCTGGTCTTTTCTGAACAGTTGGTGTGTCGCGTCACTCCGTTTGTTTTTGTTTTTGTTTTTTATTCAAATGTTCACAGGTAGCTCAAAATAGAAGCTTACGTTGGACAGAATTCATTACTCATTGGCCCTTGTGGGCTCTGTACATAGCGCACTTCGCGATGAACTGGAGCAACTATATAATAATGCAGTGGTTACCGACTTACTTGGCGAGAAATTTGTCCGCAAACAAGGAGAGTATTAGCCTAACGGCACTACCTTACATAGTTAATTCTCTCGTCGGTATTGGTAGGTATTACAACAAACAGATCGATAATTTGAGGTAAGAACTTGATTTCTTTTGAAAAGATACACTTAACCCCCATCTTCTCTCGGTAGTTGCCGGTCACTGTGCCGACACCCTGATACAAAAGAGATGGTCCGTTTTGTCCGTAAGAAGATTAATGACCAATATAGGCCTAGTGGGACCGGGCGCGTTCTTGTTAGCTTTCTGCGCTGTAGACAATTTACTCGCAGCGGTCATGTACGTCCGAACAATTGTTAAAGTTTGTTTTGTGCAATTTTTATATGCGTGTTCTTCTTTGCGACGTGTAAATGGTATAAAACTCATTTTACAGCTTCGTTTCGATATCCATGGGCCTCTGCGCGTGCAACTCCGCTGGACATCTTAGCAATCATGTCGATATTGCTCCGAATCACGCAGGAATCACATTCGCAGTCTCGAATACAATTGTAAGCGTCGTCTTTTTCTAAGGTTTGAAAATTGACGATTGCGCTGACTATGAATACAATCTGTTTTTTTTTTTTTTGTAACTCCCGATTTACAGGCGACGGTACCTGGAATTCTGTGCGGGCCGTTGACGGCCGAATTGGTGACCGCTTCTCACGGTTGGTGGATACCGGTTTTCGTGCTTGCGGCGGCGATCAACTTCACGGGGGCTATAATTTATCAGAGCCACAGTTCGGCGCTTCCGGTGTTGTGATATGTTATATCGTTCGTTAATCGACGATCGCGCGCGACGATCGATGAGGAAATGCGATCGGTCAAGTGTTCGCCGATAAAAATTTCTCAAGAGTGCGCGTTCGCATTGAGATCTACGTGAAACGTTTTCTCGCTTTCATCGGCCAGTCGACAACATATCAAGATGCTTTATTTATATATATATATATATTTTAAATTGAATTCTTAACACACATGTATGTCAAGTAGCAAAGTGAATTTTGTGTGTGATAGTGCCATAGTTTGACGAGCACGTATGTAGAACTGTGGACGTGTACATATGCGGAACATCATGCACTTGGTCTACACGGAAATGTGTGTATGTGTGTTCGTGTAGACAGAATCTTAGTATATATATATAGTATACATATATATATATATACATATATATATATATATATATATACATATATATATGTGTGTGTGTGTAATTTATATTAGAATTATATATTTAATTTAAATATATAATTTTCACACACACACACACGCATACACACATCGCACGTTACATCAATTTAAAAAAAAAAACCACCTAGCGGAGAAACCAATTTTGTGATATGTTTTAAAACTATATAAAAAATTTTAATTTTGCAGTTAAGATGTATAAAAAAGATGTATATTCTATGAAACACAAGACTGTACATAAAAAAGAAATTTTAAACTTTCACGTTTATATATATATATATATGTATTTTTTTTAAAGCATTACGTGGGGCGGAGGGGGGGAAACGTGGCGGGAAAAATTGAAATTAACGAACGGAGAAAAGTCAACATTTTCTACGTTGTAATTGATTGAATTTAAAATATTACGAGATGTATAAATTTATATTTGGGACACACGCACACAATAAAAAGATGTTTTCGCTGTGTCATATATATAATATATATGTATATATATATATTACATCGGATCATAAAGACAAATCTTTCTTCAAATATTTCGAGCGTAGTATCTGCGACAATCTCTCCCTGGACACGCTTCCGTTCAAGGCGTTTACTCCCATCTGGACGAACACGTTGTCGTGCGAAGTCGACGCGGACATAACGGATGATTTCAAGTCGACCGACTTCGTCGATCGTGCGTCGCGAATTTTCCCGGCTTCTTCATCGACGGACGTTTCCCGCGCGATGTTGGACGCGGAAGAACGATCTTTTCTGCTCGTGTGACTATCGGTAACCGAAGTAGAACGAGCGTCGAGATCTTCGAAGAGTCCGAGCGGTCCGATATTTAGACTCGCGATAATGTCGGTAACTTCGCTCGTCGACGGTTTCATATTTTGAAGCGACTTATTATCGCGCCTCGTTCCGTCTTCGAACGTCACTTTCGACGAATTCGCGTCTTGATTTCCGCCGCGATTATCAACGTCCGATTTGATTCCCGTTCTTCTTTCGGGAAAGATCAGACCTCTTATGATTCTCGCTTCTTCCTCCAGATTCGGCCGTTTATCCGATGCCGTTTTTTTCAAGATGTTCGTCGCGCTTTTGTGCAAGTAAGAATTCGCTCTGGGATCCGCGTAATTTCTCTGAACCTTGTCCATGTTGCGCGTCATCTTTTCTAGCGCGTCGTATAATTTTCTCGTCCCAGCACTACCGATGGCGTCCCTGCTCTTCATCCAAGTCTTACCGTTTCGCAACGCTTGCCAAGCCGTCTTCACTTTCCTCACCTCGTAATCCACGTCAGCTACTGCTGACTCGTCCGCTAAATGATGTAAAAAAAAAAAAAAAAAACAAAAAGGAGGATTTAGAGTTCGCGCGATTCGATGCACGCGCAACGAGAGAGATATCTCGAAGTAGAAAATATTAATAAAATTTACGTTTATCCGATTCTTTGTTCGATATTCTCGTTGGATCCTCCTTCTCCTCCTTGTCGATACTCGGCAAGCAATTTTTCTGAGCCGATGTCGCGCCACTTAAATCCGGCGCGCTTGCGAAATCGACCCGTGCGTGTTGCAATTTCGTCAAAGCGGACGACGATTCTTGTTCTCTCGCATTGTTGCGAACCAACGCGGATTTGACACATTTTTGACGGGAATTGTTCGTGGACTGCAAGCGAAACCGCGTCAACGAGTGCGACTGTCCGACGACGTTCGCGCACGGATTAAATTCGTAAACAAAATTTTTCGTCGCTGAAACTCTTCTCCCAACGCACACGAACGTTCTCTTGCCCTGCTTCATTATATTTTCGGCTATCTGTAGACGCGGAAACGTGATGGTTTTAAAAAAACGCGTTTTCGAGCAAATTGAAAAAGCGCGAACTTCATTCCCGAGAAAAAAAATTGATTAGATCTAACTTAAATTTAACGAGATAAAAAAAAAAAAATGGAAAAATAGATCCAATTAGATCCAAATTAAATCTAAATAGAATATAAAGTAGATCCAAATAAATTATATAAAGTAAATCTATGGAAATTTACACTTTTATTTATTATTAAATCTACTCTTGATCTACTCAGATCTATTGTATTAGATCACCTCTGTTCAAATCTGCTCAGATCTAACTAAATCTGAGTATAGTTTTAATTATAGCAGATCTGAGTATAGATCTAAAGTAGATTTAATAATATATAAAGGTGTAAATTTAATAGATCTGCTTATATTTATTTAGATCTACTTTATATTTATTCAGATCTACTTTATATCCTATTTAGATTTAATTTGGATCTAATTAGATCTATTTTTCCTTTTTTTTTTTTATTTCGTTAAATTTAAGTTAGATCTAATCCATTTCTTTCCCGGGTTGGAAGAAGAGAAAACAATTTGAATAATTTTGCGCAGGTTTTTTTTTTGTTTTTAAAGGGAGAGATGTGAGAGTCTTAATGACAAGAGATATGTAATTTCGAAATTTAAGTAAAACAGCAAAAACAGATATGCGCCTACAATATCACGTTTCACTTTAGGCTTCTGTACGTCTCCCTTATGTTGGTTATCTTCGATTTTATTTTGAATATTGTAGATTTGCAATTTGTTATCAAAATCAACAAAGAATTTGCAATCCTCGGAAGCCAGATTGCTTGCTTCGTTATTGCGTTCTTTGTCTCGGGCGAATTTTGATGATTTCTGTTTATCGGGTTCAGCAATCTGCGTCCTGGATAAATCGCGCGGATCAATTTTTTTTTTTTTTTTTTTTTTTTAAACAAAAATCAGTACGAGAACGTAAACGGGAAGGTGTTGCATAAAGTGCTTTTTTTTACTTTGTATTTGCACGCTTATTGTTTTCAGAATTCCGCTTCTTTTCATTCTTGCGCGCGGAATCGCCCGATTCTTCGGCCGTTCTTTTAATTTCCTTCCGACGTAATGTTTTAAAGTAACTGAAAGTTAACGTTTCAATGTAACGCGCTCTAAACGACTATGGGGTTTTCTTGTACGTGTACTCACCTCGTAACGCCTAATCTGCACTTCGGTTTGTTCGCATGTTTCGACAACGTTTGCTCCTCCTCTCGTTGCTCTTCTCCCGATTTTCGTAGAAAAATCGTCAACGCGTTGATTCTGTTGTACTCTTTGCGATTTTGTTCTTCACCGTGAACGGATTTTAGAAACGTTGCGGTGAAAAGAATTTAACACGCGCAACGAAGAAAAGTTTCAAAAATCCATCCAGAACGTCGTTCTTCGAGATTAATGTGTGTGAAGTATTTTCTGAATTTTTGTTTTACAACAAAAATTAATTACTTTACAATTTCTGATTTGAAATTACGTTCCGTTTTTTTTTTTTTTCAAAAAGTTTGACAAAAATCGAGCAACTCTCAGACAAAAATAAATTCAAATTGCATGTTGTAGTGCACACGGATAGAATAACCTTCTAAATTGATGTCCGATTGTAAGATCTCTCGATGCGCACATCTGATACTATTGACGACAAGAAAATCAACAAAAATGTTGTATCGATATTACAATTGAGAAACGAATAATCGGACATGTTCGTCGTTTCGTATCGTTCGATATTAAAAAAAAAAAAAAAAAAGATGAAATGGTACGGTATTTATTTCATGGTATTTATTTCAGTCTTTATTCGTATAACTAATCGACAGGATCAAAATATATATATATATATATATTATTTATATTATTTATTTTTACATATGTATATTGTGTGTAGAGACGTTTAACGAGATATATATCTGACACAACTATGGGTTTCTCTCGGGATCGGGGAAAAGAGGGGGGATTCCCGAAAAAAACTTTTTATCACTGACTTAATTCGAGGAGAGACACAAGGAGAAAATTCCTCGATTTTCTTCGAGTCGCGCGATATATATATATATACATATATATTAAATGCAATCGGATCGCGTGAAATTTTTGCGAAAGCTTCAAATCAAGTCCAGCTTGATTCTCTTGCTTTTTTGTTTTTTTTTTGTGCGGATTTTCTTTTCTTTTGCGTATAGGAAAGAGAGCACGCGGTGTCAAGCGGTAACGTTGCGCGCGCGCGCGCGCGCGTGTCGTTGCGATTTTCTATGTATATATAAACGCGTATATCCCAATCCCTGGATTTCTCTCTCTCTCTCTTGAGATCGTCACGTCTCCCGTTTTTCGAAAAAAAAAAGATGACTTACTTTCGTTCAAAAGCAACAGAGAGATTTTCGCGATTTTCCCGAATCTCTCGTACGTGCACGTACGCACATAACATGCGATACGCGAAACAAATACACTTGTGAGCCTCTGAAACAAAGTCGCACGCACACACAAGCGGTGTTCTGAGACAAACGAAAAAGGAATTGGAGGAAGAATCAAGCTGGGGAGATGAGGAAGTGAAGGAGAGAAAGAGAGAGAGAGAGGACGTGGAGTCGATTCTTTTGTTTCTTTTTTTGTGAGAAAAATCAGGGGATTTTAACGGCAACACAAGAGGCTCTCACAATGCCACAAACAGTGCATCACTCACAGTTCGTAAAATTTTATGTAATGATTAAATAATTTTTACAATTATAATACGTACAAAAATAAATGCATGTATTAACAAATGTAGCACCGTTTCCGGCATCTCGGACGTTTCTGTCTCTTCGCAAAATGAGCGAATTAAAAAGAATCGCAAGAGAAATGTGTATTTCTCGCCAAATAAAACGCGAGGGAAAATTTTAAAAAAATTCGAACGATTGAAAAAAAAAATAAAAATAAAAATAAAAATACGCAAAGCTCTAAGCGTGTCCCTTTTAATTTGCCCGTTTTCGCTTGATTTATCCCTTTTCCTCGGACCGATCGCGTGTATAAGGAAGCAATCTCTTTTTTTTCGACCCTCTCTCCCGTTTATCCGCACCCGCGAGACCGCGCACTTGCAGTGCGAATTTTTCGAGCGAGTGACTAATTTTTCTAACCCATCTAATGGCGGTTTTTCTTTCTTCGAGAAATTTTTTATCTCTAGTTCTGCTGCTTGGTGGCCTCGTGCGGGAGCACGACGCGCTTGATGAGTCCCGGGGTCGCGTCGTATCCCGGGGGACTGCGGTCGTTGTCGCGGTTGTTGATGTCGAGGGACATCAGGCTCGTCGACGGGCTCGGCGAGGTCAGGCATTCGTGAATGAAGCTGCACACGGTGTTCACGTACACGTCGCGATAGGTCGCGTAATGCTTGACGTGGGGCGAATTGGTGAACAGGACCAGTTGGACCCGCACGCCGCGCTCGGCACGTCGACTGGCGAACTTCTCCACGTCCTGGAAGACGATGTTTTTTTTTTAGACGACAGAGATGCGAGTTTTATCAACTTTCGAGGTAATTTGACGGAAATAAAAAAAAAAGAAACAAAAACAAAAACAAGAAAACTCACAGACGCCGGGATCAGAGAGTCGCTGTTGGAGTACAGGAACAGCTGAGGCCAGGAGTAGGCCTCCTCGGCGAGGGCGATCGGATTCGTCGGTATGGACGATCTGCTAAATGCCTGCGCAATCACCTGACAATCGTAAATCGACATATAAAACGTACAGCGTAGGGTTTACAGCCTTGAAATGATCCGATCTGTGTGTGTCATATGATACGGAGACGCGTGAGAATATTTTCGTTCGCTCTCTCCCGAGAGATGAGTTTTTTCTATGCGGAAAACAATGAAGAGAAATGGATGATCATTTCATGTCTGCTAATTAATCCGAGGATGAGAGAAACAATAATAAGCACGACGCAATCGTAAGGTCGTAAAAGATCGACGCGCTCATCGTCGCGACATTCGTCTACTTTACCTCGAAGAGCCAGAGCACGGAGAGGAAGAACGTGATGACAAACGACATCGGCAGGTTCGTTAGGGGATGGCCGCCGATGATCGCGCTGATCGCCTTGAAGAGCGCCGTCAATCTCCTCTCGCCGGGCGCGCTATCGAATATCACACCCCTCACCTGCGACTCCGATCAAACACTTCTTACACTCGAGCCGATATTTAAATAGCCGTCTTTATCTAGGTTCTTACGCGCAACAGAAACATACAAAACCGAGAGAGTTTTACGAGAGAGGAACTCTGAACGTGTGCGTTCCGCATCGACTACCTTGAACGGCGTGTTGGCCTTTTGCATCGCGAGGCTGACGTGCTGATAGAGGAACGCGCCGCCGTTGCTGAAGACGTGGAAAAATATCGGATGCTCGTCCAGACGCTTGTCCGTGATCACCTGAAGCAATCGCTTGCCGATGTAAGGCATCTTGTCCCGTCGCCAAAACAGACACTCCACCGGCGCCGTGTAACGCAGCGTGATGCAACTGCGAGAAGACGCGCAATTTGCGATTTAACGCATCGATGAACTTAACGTTGCAGTTCTCGAAGACGCGAGACGAGATAGGCCTGCATCAGCTATACAGTGTGTACTACCACCGCAGCGAGCTTCGTCAAGCTTACACCACGAGGAGGTTTCAATTTTTAACCAAATGAAACCTCCGCGTTATTGCTGTTGTTTATAAAACAAAAAATTTCTACAACATAGACGTAAATGCTTGAAATATCTCGGGGGGATCTCTCCGGATCGGCGCGTCGATAATACCCTCTCTCGATCTCTCGATGATTCGCAACAATTACACCTCAAGTCTCTGATATAAATTTTCGTTCGCGAATTTGTGATTTGAGAGGCGAGAGAAAAACCGAAATACCTTTTGTCCTCGTAGATCGCGCTGTACTTGGCCAGATAACGGTCCTGACAACCGGCCCATCCTAGCAGGATCACGACCGGCCGCTTATCTTCCTCGTAAACGAACACAAACTCCTCGCGCTGATCCTGTCCGGCCGCGGTCAACGTCGGGTCCTTCGGGGACGGTGGAAACGACGGGAACATGATGTAATAATCCAGGTCCTCCTGGTCGCTCATCTTTGCTCGATTGCGTCCGTGTCTCTCCTCTGTTTCACGAGGACGAAAGGAAAGAGAGAGAGAGAGAGAGAGAGACGACGGACGGGGGATAGCCAGGAAGGAAGGAGAGAGAAGGAAAAAAAGGGAGACGGCGCGATTCCGAGAGCGAGAGAAGGGTTGCAGCGGGCATAAACTACCTTCGCCCGAAAGGATGGCCTCCGTACACACGGAGGTTTCAACTCGAGCTTGCGTCGTTCGAAACGCGCGAACGCGCATCGCGTAGGATCGATATCAGAGAGAGGGAGTTACGGGAGCTAGGTCGCGAACCAGAACGATGGCGATGTTTGCGAAAGTCTAGGGAACGGGAGTGATGCCTCCTCGAGGGGCACCACCGTCGTCGGTGCTTTTCAACTCGCGCGTGATGACGAGATCGATATGAAGTTTCCGACGAGCTGCTTTCTCTCTCTCGTGCTGCGGTCTTCACCGGAAAAAAAAAAAAAAAAATGATAGCGCACACCCCTTCCATTTCTCGTCTCTCGCGCGGAAATGTAAACTCATCTCGCACTCTTCTTCGTATTCCGGACCGATGACTCGATTACATTAATCGCATTTGTTGACAAATTCAACAAAAACGACGGCAGGAATTAGAGCACAAACGCGTTGAGATGATTTTAAAATCGAAACGTTATTAAAATCTTGCTAATGCGAATTTGAAGAACAAACAATTGTTTCACAAGAAAATGTCACACCGAAACTCGCTCGGAAATACAAAAAGTTCGGAAAAGGGTAATGAAAACGATATAAACTAACAAAATGTATAACTACTATAAAACTTTGAAATTTATTAAAAAAAAAAAATAGCTTAGGGCCAATGATAAAAACGCGGTTTCTTAGCGGACTTCGCGTTTTGATCCTAGCGAGTGGCGCCGACTGCGGACGATCCGCGAATTCGCGGATTGCCATTGAGCAGGCGCTCGAGACCGTTGGACCGTTCGCAGCATCCGGGAGCTGCGCGACGTCGCCGTCGCCGTCGCCGTCGATTGGCCGGGAGAACGCGCAGAGCGCGAGATGAAACCGGAACGACAGAGAGAGAGAAGGAGGGTGAACGCGAGAGAGAGCGGATCTCGTTTCAAACTCGAAATCCTTAACGAGGAACACTCAGAGCCACGCGAGCGGCCGCGCGACGCGGTACGAGCCGTTTGAATGCCGGTGTGAACGACGTCGCGTTATGTGCATCGAGAAACGTGTGAGCCACGCGGGGCTCGCTTGTGTCATCCTGTTTCTCGCGGCAATTTTTCAGCCGTTTGGTGAGTGCACATTGTTTTTAGAAGAAAATATTTTTAATTTTTAGAAGAAAAGATTTTTTGAATTTGAAAACAATCGAAAATATATAAACCGACGAGGAGAGAAAAACTGACGGAAAATTGTCACAAACGAACGCGAATCTCTTTGCTTATTACAATCTTTGATTAAAATTAATAATGTGTAAATTTTTCATGTAACACAGAACGCAAAATGTAAGCGCGTATATAATTAATACACGGTATAATAAACGTATAAATATTTAACAAACAACTAAAACAATTATCGTCTCATCTTACGTTTGAATTATCAGATACAGTTTCGCGTAAACGATTATTTTCCGCCAGAGCTCACAAACAATTATCAATCAACAAATAACGTCATCGTCATTTTGTAATAACAATGATATACATATACACAATCATGTTGTAACAATAATAATATATACACAATTATTATTGTCGATATAAATTATTTACTTGTACACTAGTACTTATTTTTTTTTTTTTTATAAATCGCGACTGTTATATAAATTTGTTTTTTTTCTTTTTTTTTTACATTTTTTACATTTAATTAATTCCGCACATAAGTGAACGTCGATTGGAGTTTGGCGGAATCGACCGTCCCGTGTAATTTGTCTATTTTGTCACGAAAGTGAAAATCAATTAAGTACGATCAATCTTCAAAGCCGCGCGTTATTATTCAATCCTCGAGCACGCGTCAGCTTGTATTTACGTTTCAATTTATATGTAGCGCTTCTCGAAAAATAAAGAATAAATAATATATACAAGAGATATTCAAATGAACTTGAAAACCAAATCGGAACGCGTACTTGGATGGGGGGGGGGGGGGATATGAATTTATAAAGTGCGCTCGCGCGAAATCCGCGATATATTACGCAAAGTCTCGCGGTTTTTCAAACGCTGTACAAATTCTCGCTCGACGAGGGAGATGGGAGAGAAATCAAGAGGGGAGACTTCGACTGTAATGTAATTAAACCATAGGGATAATTGGCTTATTCTTCCAATAACAATAGAGCTTTATGGAAACATGGAAATTGCGGTCGCCCGATTAAGTTCGCCCGCGCGTCGAGTTGTTGAAGCAAAGCGCGGTGGATGCAAAGCGCTTGGTCGCGAGCAAGTAGTACGAGTCGACAATAAGTCATTCATTAGGGAAAGGACGCACAAGCGTGGCTTTAACCGTCGGGCGCGTATGCAAGATCTCTCGCGCGCGGGTCCATTTTTTATTCGCGCGTATATAAATTTTCTCGTAACGAGGAAGAGGAGGATAAAGTGAGAGCTATTTTTTATATATTAAACCACGTCGCATTCTTATTTCTTAAAAGCGTGAAAAATATGTCTCACACACCAGGTTTTTTTTTACCGGTTCCGTGTCTCATATCTTAAACGTGAAAAATAGGCCACTACATCTTCGGAAGAAAATTCTCTCTCTCTCTCTCTCTCTCTCTTTCCGTCGCGCGCCCCGAGAAACTTCATTCCGAGAGAGAGATCTCCTCTCGAGCCATCCCCTCGCGCGGACGAACACCGCGCAACCAACGGGCAACTCGAAGCGCGGTCTGTTAATTTTCACGGTACATTGTGGGGACCGTGCAATCACAATGAAATACCGCGCGCGCGGCCTCCTGTTCTCGCGCCCGTCTCCCGTCTGTCTTTCTATAGCTTAACGTAATTAGTTTCGCTGCCGGACGTATTAGCGGATTTGCGAATTAACGTTAAGCAAACTCGCTCGCTTTCTTTCTTTCTTTCTCTCTCCCTCTCTCTTTCTGCGGTCCGTTTAAGCAACGAAAAAACAATGAGCACGCCGGGCAATCTAACTTTACCACTTAACTCGTTTACGATTTATGTGGTTGTTCGCGCGCGGTCGTTGCATTCGCACGTAATTACACGTCGTTGCATATTCTCCGCGCGCGCAGGCGGGATTAGCAAAATGACACGAGATTTACTCGGAATAAAACTCGTGTCTCTCTCTATCCTTAATGCACTTGTTTTTTTGAGTCGTTTTAATGTCTCTCGTTTACGGTTAAACAAGGTAACGCTGTTGTTGTTCTCGTCGCAAACGTCGCGTGCTCGGGAAAAGTTGTCGCTGGTCTAGAAAGCGCGCTCGGCCTCTTTTTTTGTTTTCTTTTGCCTTTATCGAGTGGAACACGAATGCGCTAATAATTACGTGAAATTACAATATAGAAAGATTCGCGACAAGAAGAAAAAATTGAATCGCGAACGAATTAAAATTTTAAAATATCACACGCCAATTCGGATATATTTTCTCTGAAATTACTTCGAATCAGCGCAGCTTGTATATAGATAATTGATCGAATTCGAGATTTTTGGGCCGCCTGGTCCGGTCGATACCTATCGGTATCTGCTCTAACAAATTCGCCGACCGTGTCTGTAACAAATTTATTACGAGAGAACTAATCTCATCTCTCTCTCTTTCTCTCTCTATAATCGGGTTTTCTCGTAGATACTTTCGCAGACAGCCGTCAAATATTCCGATGAATTATTCCGCCGTAAAAGAGACCGGGAGCTTAGAGGTGCATAATGTGGAATAATTATAGAAAGTGCGCCGCGCCGTTTTTCATCGATCGCGCGCGCGCTTTCCTTTTTCTCCTCTCTCCCCCCCCCCCCGCCCCGATGTGCGCGCTTCGGGAATATTCTTTGGAAAAGCACGGGGGGGGGGGGGATATATCCCCCATCCTTTATATGAGAGCAAAGCGCTTTCGGGGTCCCCCCGAGCTTCGCGCTGCCGGAAATTCATTTCGTTCGATTGGCGATGCAACATTACCGGAGGTAATCTCGTCTCTCCCGGGCGTCGTGTGTCGTGTGCGAAAATTGACAAGGGATCAACGACGACGAGGCCCGAACGAACGGCCCTATATATATACACGAGTGCAATACAAGTTGATGGGGAAATTCCCTTGTGATATTCTCGGGGCTTTATCGCGCTCGAGGGTGAACGGGTAAGTACAGCCGCGCGCGCCGGTAAAGTGTCGCGAAAAATCCCCGTGAAGAGTCGTTTCACGGGAGGGCAAAAGCATCGGGTCGTTACGTGCGATCTCAACGTATTCGTATAATAACCCGCGGTTCGCGGTTGTATCCGGGGTTGTACATCCTTTTTCCGGTTTTTTTCGCGAATGCGAAAATTTGTAAAAAACGCGAAAATGCGATCTGATTGCGAGATCGCGGAGATTCGTTTTTTTTTCTCTCTACGGGCGATGATCGAAAGCCCGCTCTCTCTCTAACGATGTACCCGAAAGTCGGACCGCAAATTTACAAGCGATGACCCGTAAATGTTGCAAACGCGTAATGTCGCGTTGAGAACACTCGCTGTATGCACGTGGCCGATAAAAAATTACTGACGTCGAGCGCACGTGTGAGCACGGCACTCTCTCTCTCTCTCTCTGTCTCTCTTTCTCTCTCAACATACTCATTTATTTACGTGAGCGCTACTATAATGCGTCGTGCATTACGTTATTTTTGCGGAGCTATATTGCGGCGGCCGAGGAGATGAAATATTCAGATGTCCCGATTGCTGATTTATGCCGCGTTTACCACGTCGAGGGGACACGACGCGGGAAACACGTGTATACACACCCCTCCCCCCTGAAATAGCTTTGTTTCGTGTCAACAGCATAAATATGTAAAAGCGCTTATATAAACTATCGCACTATGGGGGGAGGGAGGAGGAAGGGGGAGAAAAAAAAAACACTTTTATACCTTCGATTTTTTGCTTTACACGCGTTCGCATCAATTACCCGGAAAAGGATCGGAATCAAAACACGGTGTTGTGTGATCCACTTTCAATGCGGAATATTATATATATATATATGCGGGGGCGTCGTTTATATCGCTGATTGAATTTAATTAAATTTCTGCGAGGACACATCTCCCCGCTTGTTTTACCGCGACGGAAACGAGACGCGAGTTGTGTGGTCTCCTTCTATCTCGTTTTCCCGCCTACGTCGGAGCTTATAGTTATTCGTTTTAATTGCTCTTCCGACGGAAAAATTCTCTTTGCTCTCTGCCCGCGCACATTGTGTTTTTAACGCGCGTACATATTTCCGCGCTTGCACGGAACCGCGCGGGACCGCGCGTGCGCAAAGCACAACCGATTTACGAATATACAATTTAATAACGATTTAATAACAATTTCGGATGTGTAGTAAAATAATCGTGTAAAGTGAACAATCAAAGAAAGAACATATCGGGACTACGTTAACAACGAGATATAAACGCGCTTATTAATAATTCGCTTATTTTAATAATTATTTTTTCCTAATTAATAAAGTCTTACTTTTTTTCAATTAATTTGTCTCAACGGGGGTTGCTCTCGAAAATTTATAGTAATCGCGCTCCACAAGTGTGAAATGTTTGCTTTGCATTAAATCAACAGACCAGAGGGTGTTGCACCGACGCCATTTCAATTAATAAACACATCGCGGTTATTAAAACATTAATAATTGCAGATTAACAATTTTATTTTTCTTACTCTTTCGCGTTAATAACATTTTTACGTTATTGCGTTTTTTTCGAACGTATCGATACCGGTTTAAATTTTTAAAATACTCTTTTTTGAAGTGTTATTATTATTAATATTCTTGTAAATATAAATTTTATATATTTCCCGAACGCAAATCCTTTGAATAAATCGTCCCGCATTCCGATAATCCTCTCTTTCTCCGGTGCTTTTATTTTATATATATACGTATATTATGTACGCGCGAAAACGCTCGCCCTCGTGTTCGTTGCGGACTTCGTTCGTTACAACAATGAAGAAAGTCGTCGGATTATACCAATTGCCACTTGATATCGCTCAGATTAGTCGAAGATGCTTTTCTCGATGAGCTTTCTTCCAGGCGGGAAGGAAAATGTGCGCGCGCGCGCGCGCGCATCGAGTTTCCGCTTCTATATCCTTGAGTAGAGTTTCGCGAAACTTTCGAGTATAATCCACCGTGAAACTTTTCGGTGCATCCGATAGGCACATTCCTCCTTCGTTAATGCGCAAGAATTCATATTACGCTTCACATAAGAGCGGGAAAAAAAAAATTACAATTTTTTTTAATCGTAATTTCGCAGTTTTCGCGCGAAAGACGAGAGAGTATATATATATACTGAATTATTCCGCTTTTGTGTATCAAAGCCGCTTTTATCCGACGCGGCGCGCGCGTTACATTTGGAGAAATCTTCGCGCGCGTTCCTCTTCTCTTCCCGTAACGTGTACTTTGCGTACTCTCTCTTCTCTTTGTTCCCTTTCAACCGACTCGACTTTATCGCCATCCGCGCGCATTAAAGAATTTCCATATCGGCCGCCGCGACCTTCCCCCTCGGTATACCGCGCGCGAAAACACTTCTCTCGACGAAGGGCGAAATGACAAGCGGGGGACCGATGACTTCCTCCGCGGCTCCGCGCGTGGCGGAGTTTCGCAGTAGTAATAGTCGAAGTTTCGACCCCGCCTCGTGCGCGGCCAAGTGCCGCGACTCTCTCCTCGACAAACTTCACAATAGAACTTCCGCATTTTCGCCTCGCTGCCCGCATCGCCTGAAGAAGATGCGCAGTCACGAGAGAAACCCCCCCTTCCCCCCTCGTGGGTCTCCTTCCTTTCTTTCCCGTTTCTCTCCCGTCTCACACACACACACAGACACACACAGACACAGGCTTCTCGCGCGCTTCCACGCCTTCCTTGTTTGATCGAATCTCTCGCTCGTTTCGCAGGACTTTGCCAAAATGCCGGGGCACGCGGCACGTACGAGAGGAGATCGGATCTGCTTAACAGCGACGACGAGAAGTCGTCGCGCGCTCTGGAAATCCATCATCGGCAGTATAACAGGTAAAAAATAGTATATCGAGTTGCGCGAGATTTATAATGTTTTCGACGCTGCTCTCGGATGTAACGCAGCGACGAGAATCTCTCTCGCTCCGCCGCGCGAGTAACGCGAGATTCTTCGGACGGAGCGAGATGATACACAGCCGGAGAGCTTTTGATTCGATTACACCGGAGCTTTGTCTTGCGCAAAATTCGCGCGAACGTCCGGTGGAACGTCGCGGAGTTGGAGAAATCACAATGGAATTATACGTTGTAATTGTAGATCAAAGGTTCTCGCAAAACGGAAACGTTACCGAGCACCGAGACTCGCGGTCTCGATATATATATATATATATATATATATATATATATATATATTATATAGGTACGTCTCTCATCGAGACGTATAAGAGCGCGTGTAATTTGCAATAAAACAGAAATCCGCACCGAGACGAGATTATTATTATTATTATTATTGTTTTTGTTTTCGCGTCTATTTGCACTCGATCTCTGAACTCTATTTTTTTTCGCAGTAACAGCAGTATCGAATATTTTTCGAAAGCTGATATCACATCGTGTTTTTTTTAGCAAATATGTATATACAAAATAGCACCGGGAAATCTATACCGTAATAATATAAGGATGTGATGTGTTCTCGCGGGCTCTCGAAATAAATCCTCGAACGGAGCGTGTGTTCAAAATTCTCTTTGATGATTTATTTAACAAAACTGAGCGGTATAGTCTCTCATCTCGCTCTCAGATCTCTCTTTCTCTCTCTCTCTCTCTCGAGACAAGCGCGCGCGCGCGCTTGTCTTTTGCAGAAGAGCGAGAACGGTTAGAGCTTGTTGTTATCTATCTTAGCCGGGACGCATCTTCTTCGGAGGGAGCGGAGAGGAAGCTCGAAGAGGAAAACAGAGGGACGCTCTTGTCGCGGGGCGTTATCACGGAGTCGGCGGGGACGGAAGAGGAAGCGAAAGCGGGAGGGACCCGCGGTGATAAACGCGGGAACAAACATCTCCTTTTGTCGGAAAATGGTGCGAAAATTCTTCTTCCACGGCGAAACGTAAATGTCAGTGAGTAAAATCGCTTTTCTCTAATATAGGAAACGCATTCCGAGTATAAATAAAGTTCGCGCGCGCGAAGAGAGAGACGCGAAAATACACACACACACACATTTCCGAAATGAAATATGATGGCGCACCTCTTCTTAAACCGGCAGTGTTGTATTGTCGCTAAACTCTTCTCTCGCTTTTTTATTCTCTTTTCTTTGCGCTCCCATCGCGCATCTTGCATTTAACCATCGCACGGATATATATTTTTGGACAGAAAATATCCTTTTGGAGCGTGCGATTTTTTTAATAAAAAGTTTGATGCGAGTTTACTCATTAAAACAAAACAAACAAAAAACAGTTAATTAAAACTCGTTTTTGTTTTTTACAGGAAAAACTTGTTTGACTGACTTGTTCCAGCAATTAGATTTGTGTAAATGTTTGAAAATAAAAACCAGAAGTTTGCTGATTCGCTAAAGAGTTTTTAGTTTTTTCAGAAATGTCTAATTCAAAAATCATCATTTCCGCTATATATATATATATCCTCGTTCCCGGCAGCAATCTCGAGCGAGCGAGGACGGGAGGACGGCGTCCTTCTCGGAGGTCGAGCGCGGAAAAAGCGTCGCAGGGTCAAAGATCCGAGGAATTCCGGGGACGTCGGGGATCGCGCGCGCGAGAAGATTAACGAAGACAGTCGCGAGAACGAGATAGCGGCGAACAGCAGGCGTGGCGGTGGTGGCGAATCGTCGCGGAAGCGGAACGGCGGTGGATCGGGATCGAGAAATCGGGAAACGCGAAAGTCTCGCGCTGATGCGCGACGTAAGCGAAAAAAGGATAGAAGAGAACGTAACAGAACGAGCGACAACAAGCGGCACGACGTAGCGGCGCGACGATCAAAGCGCAAAAGAAAGACGCACGACGCGACGAGAGGTCTCGTTCTCGAGAGCCTCGATCTCGCCGGTAACGAGAACGCGTCGTACGAACGCGTCTCGATCGAGAATTCGTCAAACGTCACCCCGGATTACATCGTCCCGTCAACGGAATCAACGACAACGCCGTCGAGTCTCCAGCGTTATCCGAACCTCGGGGTTACGAGGAAACTAGCGAGAACGACGCCCCGTCGCGGTTTCTACACGGCCGACACCGTGGAGAGAGAATTCTCGAAGCAGCTCGAGATGGAGATCTCCAAGTCCGCCTCCAAGGACCGCTCAATTCTGGAGGACGGTATCTTCGATAGGTCTCCGGGGCAATCGAGCGGACGGAATGTAAAGTCGTCGGGCGAAGTCAACGAGAAAAGCACGGTCGCAACGTCGTCGGACGGAAAAACCGATTTCGGAAGTTCGCGCTACGACGCCGCGAAGATGCTGGGTTATTCGAGAACCGAGGAGGATCTGCCGATACTCGATCTGGAGAACGACGTGCTTGAGAGAGCCATAAAGGATTACAACGCGTACATGATGTCGAGGCAGAAATCGCGTTACTACGACGAGCCGCTGCCGATTCGTCGCGTCTCCGAGTCCCCGCATCCGCCGCGAAAGCCGATAATTAATTCGGAGGAGAGCGGCGGCGACGACGACGACGACGACGACGGAGGAGGAAGCGCGGAAGTCACGGGTGAAACGCGCAACGACGGCGGCACGAGCGGGGACTTATCTTGCATAAACGGGACGTTCCTGCCGGCGCCTCTATCTCGCCACGCGCTGATCAAATATGTAAAGTAAGTGCTCTCCTATCGTCTATCATCCATAATTCAATGCTCGGGATAATTCCTCGGGAATCAACGCGATTTCTGCGCGATATATATCTCGGCAAACTGTACGTACGTGCCGAAGTGCCGCGCGTTTCCGAGAAACACACGTCGGATATTAATTTAATTTTTTTCACGGAATTACACAATATATATTTGATATTTGATATTTTACACTGAAAAAATTATATTCTTGTAAGTAGAAGATTTTATACTTAAAAAATCTTCTTCAAGATTTTAGATGATATTCTTCTGAAATTAAGAATATATTCTTTATTTAAGAATATAGTCTTTTTCGATAGTGAGATATATATATGTTTTCCCATAGAGGCTTTTTTATATTCTAATCAAGTATATATTCTTATCAATATTACTATTTAGAGGATTTTTCTCTTAAAATAAGAAACTCTTTTTTCGCAATATAAATTTAATTTCAATTAGGGGGGTATTTGGGATTTCTCATATACGAGATGCAAGTATAGCATCCAATATGAATTTTAGAATTGTTATTTCAATTCGAATTTCACGTGTAAAAATTTACATGTGAACACGTATATATATGGATATATATACACATATAATTTCCGCACAACACCTAGCGAACGGCTCCTATGACCGAATATATATATTTATTAGTTAAGAAACTCTTCTTGGCGCCTATTTTAGTATAAAATATACTTAAAGTAAGTGGGATATATCCTCAAAACAAGAATACAATTTTTTCGGTGTACTCGCGCGCGAGTCAGTTTTTTTTGTTTCTTCTGGAAAAAAATATTGACAAAAATCAAGATACGTGTTTTATCTTTTATTAAAGAGGTGAAAAATCCTCTGCGGCGTGTTGATTTTATTCGGAAATTTCAAAATGGCGAAGCAAAATTTTCCCATCGCTCGCGCGCGCGCGCGCGCGCGCGATGTGTTTCCAGATTTTAAGATTACGTTTATTCTACTTTTCATTTAGCAGCGTGGATGTGTGCGGGCGGGCGGGCGTGCGAAAATATAGCTTTATCGCAAAAATAACTCAGCTCACGTTTTCTCTCTCTTTCTCTCCTCGTAATTATGAAAGGTCCTCGATTCCCGGCCACGAGTATTTGGAAGCCGATTACGAGTGCGCCCCGGGTTACCGTATGGCATCAACCGCGAGCCGATTAGTCTGCCGAGCTCGTCAGTGGGTCGGACAGGTGCCAAAGTGTGAGATCAAGCAAAAGCCGACCGGGTTGTGCGCCGAGGCGTCCTGCGAGCACGTGTGCAACGAAATTAACGGCCGTCCCGTCTGCTCCTGCTACGAGGGATTCAGAATTCTGGACGATCGCAAATGCGTCGGTGAGCTCTCGCCATGATTTTGTTATCTCCCCGCCGCGCGGATTATCATTACGGCCCCTCTCCCCCTTTAACAACAACAAGCTTTTTTTGATATATATGTTCTTTACTCGCGCAAGCTTCTTACTCGCGTGCGCGGAATTTCGTGAAATTTCTGCATCGAATTTTCGCATTTAATACGGGCGATTTTTGAAAAATGTTGTTAAATTTCGTAGAGATATTCGAAACTTCACATTTTTTTCGCACAGAGCTCTCGCGTGTGTGAACGTGTTTTTTTTTTTTTTTTTTTCTGGGTTTTCTGCTCGATTTCACTCCATATTGTGTATAGAACGTTGCGGTTATTTTATTTTATTTTATTTTTTTTATTAAATTAAATTTGCGATATCTCCGTGTAACATGTCGCTTCGTTTTTTGAATTGTTTTTTTTTTTTTTTTTTTTTTTTTGAGAGAAATTACACAACACATTCGCGCGTTAATGCAGTTTCTGCTGCGTTCTGGGATCGCTGTATTAGCAGCGGATTAAACCGCCGTGTCTTGTCTTGTTTATTTGCGCAGACATCAACGAATGTTTACTTAACAACGGTCACGGTCCTTGCCAGGACACCTGTCGAAATCTCATAGGCGGATACGAGTGCTCCTGCGAGGGTTTGCAAGACGCGACGCTGGCCGCTGATAATCACACGTGCGAATACAACAAGCACACGGGCCCGTGCAGCGTAAACAACGCCGGGTGCTCTCACACGTGTCTGTCCACGATGGGTCGGGTGTTTTGCCTGTGCCCGGACGGCTTCATGCTCGAGGACGACTGGAAAACATGCCAAGGCGAGTTGACTTAATTAAACATTGGCTTAAACGTTGCTCTCTCTCTCTCTCTCTCTCGGAAATATTTGAATTTTCTCTATCTCTCTCGCCCCGCTTCCGCAGGAAAATTTATAATTTGCAGCAGCTTCGATCTCGCGCCGCGACGACGTGGTGATTTATGGCGCGATCGCGCGCGACGCACGGATCTTCCGCAATAAATCTTTTATCGCGCGAGCGTACATTGTGGGTTTTTTCTTTTGTACGCGCTTATTCCGACGATATCCACGCCGGATATTTTCCCGTTCCGTTTTCGCGCGAGCGTGCGAATGTGGCGAGAAAAAAAAAAAAAAAAAACGGACATCGAGAAGAAAACGTTTTTTGACAAATGACAATCATTTCCCCGTTCGCAGATGTGGACGAATGCTCGGTGCCGGATCTTCAGACGGAGCTGTGTCGCCACGGTTGCATCAACACCCCGGGCTCTTATCGATGCGCGGAGCCCGCGGAGCTCAAGGATCAACCGGTTCTGGACAGCCTGTCTATCACCTGCCTGCCGGGTTACGAACAGACGCCCCACGGGACGTGCATCGGTGAGTCCCGCGGTTATATATTAATGTGCGAATATTCTCACAACACAAGCCCCTTCGCATCAACAACAGTTCGCGCGAAAGACGCTCGTCCCGATTTCCGTTTGTACGTTGAATTCCACGTCGAATTGAATTTCGTTAATGATCTCAACAAGTGTTGCCGTTGATTTTTAACGAGAATCACGTCCGAAAGAGAACAACATTTTTTTTTTTTTTTTTTTTACATCGTTGCAAATTAAAGTCTGGACAACAAGGCTGCAACAACTTTCTTCGAAAACTCGCGTCGAGGAAACTATCTCTCGTTACGGAAGGAATGCATTATTACGAGTGTCGAAGTTCTCGATAACAAGATTCCGAAGGTAGCTTCGTATATATACCGGACTTTCTGCGAAAACTCTCTCTCGTTGTTTCAGACCTCATTGTTAAATGACGTGCGAGGAGCGGCAAGGAGCGAATCCACTTCGCGCGCGAATTCGCCGCGCGTGTTAGTTAAGTTGCGTTAGGCTTAAATAAAGTTCTCGCGTTGTAACAAGTCCGAGAGTTGACGCGTCTATCGCGCGTTACGAAACACGCGAGAACGTATGATCTCTACGGGGGGGAACGTATTTTACTTTTGCTCAGCTTTGTGTACCGCGACTCGCAATTTGTTCTCTTTCTTTCCGGTCGTGTAATTTGCGAAGTCGCGTTGTTTAAAACAAAAACGCCCGCTCCAACGTTTATTTTGTTATTCAAATATTTTTTGCGCGTGCGTGTAATCTATTAAATTCTTCTTTGCTATAGCTGGAGCACAATTTTGTTTTGAAAAGAATTCCTCCTCCCGATCTCTCGTTTGGCCGGGGCGCGATCGTTACCGGTTTTTAGTGACGCGCCGCTACAACGCCCATCCCAAACTCTCCTCGGCGCGCAAAACTTGCGTTAACGTGTGCCCGTTTAAGTTCTTCTCTTTCTATTCTTCTTCTTCTTCTTCTTCTTCTTCGATCGACCAAACATCTCTCGAACAATTCTCTCGCGCGATTTCGAGGAAAAGCGCGCGGTTTTAAGTATTTTCCTCGAGGAAATCCGAGAGAGAGTCGCCTCTCGCGCGCTTTCTTTTTCCGGCGAGTTTTGCCGAGCGAAGGTATAGAGGTGTATCGTCGATTCTCGTGGCCTCATGGCCCCGCAAGGAAACGACACCTATATCACCACCTCTCAAGGTGTTGTTTTCGGATAGAACAAACGGAGAGAGAAACGGGGAAAGAAGAGAATGCGAGAGAGAGAAAGCGGAGCGTTGTCTTTTCTCTTTCCCCCACAATCGCGAATTCCTCGGGAGAGTAACCTTCTTAGGTAGTCCCCCGCGAGTTTTCCTCCTCCCCCCCCCCCAATACTCTCAAATATCCCGGAGGCTCTCTCCCTCTCGCCGTTTGCACAAACGCAACCCCCGCTGCAATCGGTTTTTTGCCGATGCGCGCCAAACGCGATAAGAAAGAAAAACGCGCGCGCGCGCCGCTTTCATTGGCATTTCCGCGCGGAAATATGCTTTTTTTTTTCTTTTTTTTTTATCGTCGCCGTATTCTTCGTCGTGCAATAACGTAAATGCGAAAGAAAAAAAAAAAAAGACAATATTAATCATTGGAAATAATGTTCATCTTCGCGAGTACTTCGCGCCTTTCGATTTTCATTATCGCGTTAAAAAAAAAAAAAAAAAAAAAAACGCAGCTTCCCTCTTCCGAGCAGTTTTTTTTCTCTCCTTCCTTCCGACGACAGTGTGTCAGTGTGCTAAAAATTTAAGAGAGACATCTCTCTCCCACACCACATCGCTCGCGCGCGCGCGCGTCTCTCTCTCTCTCTCTCTCTCTTTTACCGATAGCTCACGCCGCAGACATTCCGAAACTCGTAACTGGCAATCCAATTTCGCGGGGGCGTAAATCCTTCAATTACAATTGATGCGGTGGTGAATACCGACAAGAACATTACGGCTCTCGGCTGACATAGCGTTACAGGCGGTGTTCACGTTTGCGAATCTTTTTCCGCGGGAAGAGAGAATTCAATTTATCTTCACCCTTTCTCTCACCCTTCGGTCGTTAAACAGCGGCAAAATTTTTATATGTGCGCGCGGCATTCTTCGCGATGATTAACACATTACTTTATCGCTCGCCGGAGAAAAAAAAAACAAAAAAAAACAAAAATAAAAGAAACACGGCGAAGTTGCGAGAGAAACACGAAGCGCACACAAATCCTACAGCTAATTACGGCAATCGCGGTTTGTTGCCTCAACAAACGGCAACGCGCGTTCAAATTCTCTTTCTTTCTTTTTTTTTCTTTTTTTGGATGAGAAAAAGCTCGCGAGGCTCCGCAAACCTTTCTCTCTACGTAAAGGAGAAAAAAAAAAACATAAATCGCGCATTCAAGCGACCACGCGCGCAGCGCGCGTTTTATGAAAAATCTCCCCTAGTATTTCTCCACATCAAAGCGAAATTCTAATTTCACCAAGGCAAAGGCAATTCGCGTGCGCGGTTTTGTCCCAGCGTGAAGCGCAGTGACTATCGCAATGATCTTACAATCTCCGGTGTGTGTGTGTGTGTGTGCGGAAACGTGAAAGGAACACGGTCAAGGTGTCAAGGGCTGAAAGGGAGCGAATTTCTGAAAAAAAAACTGGAGCACCGATGAGAGAGAGAGAGAGAGAGAGAGAAAGCGAAATTTATTATAGCGCTCCGGGATAAAATCCCTTTAAACGCAAAAGAGAGAGAGAGAGAGAGGAATTTTTCAGCGATGAGATGAACGCAAAGTGTCATCTCGACCAATTCCCTTCGACGCGACGCAAGACGAATTTTCGCGGCGATAATATTCTCGCGTCTAAATAAATAAATAACTTCGCCCGTGTGTTGCATTTAAGCGTGAAAATTCATTTAGAGGTTTCGTTATCGCTCGAAGAGCTTACTCCAAAAACAGCGTCAGTTTAGATACCGAGAGGGACCTAAAATGAAACCGCGTCGATATCTTCTCCGAAATAAAAGTCGTTTATAGCAGGGGTGAACGTTTACATTACTATTAAAAATTGCGTCTATTTTACAAAATCGGACCGAGTGCGCGCGCGCGCGAGAGAGACAGAGAGAGAGAGAGAAAAAAAACTCCGGATTGAAATAGCGAGGTCAGAAGGGCAAAAAAGAGTTCTGCAAAAAAAAGACACACAGATCCGAGAGTAATTTTAATGAAAGAAAACGGGAAAAGAGAAATTAAATTTTTGCCGACCGCGCGCGAAAGACGCGGCGTGGCCGAAAACTGTCGAAAAGATTCGCGAAATTATTCGCGATCGCGCGCTCGGATTTTTATAGGCCGTGAAAGCAGCGAAAGTTGAGTGCACTCGGCTATCATTGAGAGTGCTCGGAGTAATAGCGACTCGGCCACTTCGGTCAATTTAACCGTAATCTCGTCGACGATTGAAAGAGACAGATCGGGAGAGGGGGAAGGGGCCAAAGAACGCGAGAATCGCGCCGGTGAAGGAGTCATTACGCGCGAATGAAAGAAGCTTTGTGTATATATATAATATTCGATGATGTGATGCGCAACGAGAACGATCGCGGCCGTCTGATCGTCGTCGTCGTCGCCGTCGTCGCTCGCGGGAGGAAAGACGAGGGGGGGAGGAGATTTCGTCTGGCTCGTGATAAACGCTCGCATTAAATTGCGGCGCGCAGTATCTTAGATCGGAGATTTAACTCGTGTCTGTGCGAAATTATTCACGCCGGTTATATTCGTAACAGATTCGAAACGTAGTCGATTACAATCGCGAAGCACTTTGGAACGAAATCTAATCGAATTTCAAAATAACCGATTGACTATAGAACGTTGTTGGAAGATTTATTTAATCGTTTTGCAAAATGTGTACGTAAGTTGCGATATAACGCAGCGATTGATAAATATCCGAAACGACGTGTGGATAGCCGACGGATGGGATATCGCGTTGTTGTTGTCGCTGAAAAGTTGTTTTTACGTTTTGAAAAAAAAAAACAAATGTCAAAAAACGTAGTGTTGCAACGATATAAAAGTCATCGATGACCGTATTTTAGCGAGCTGTCGCGCAAACGCTGCGACAGCCGAAAAAAAAAAAAAAATCCGGCGTTTGATACCTATTTGTTTTCTCCGAATGAGATGAAACTTGTCAAACGCGGCAATGTCGCCCGTTTCGGATACTTATCAATCGGGGGGTCTTTGTACGTATACGTACTGTGAAATGCAATTGTACTTGGTCGTTAGCGAGGTCGACGCGCATCGTCTTCGCTCGCAAATCATGTCGCTTCGGCCGCAGATCTTCTGCTTTCGAAACCGCACGTCATTTCCAGTCCAAACGGGACTTGCTTCGCGCCGCCCAATATACAATATATATACAGGGTGCGGCGCCAAAATCCGGACAAATTATATATGTTTTTCTAAATATGTTTTATTGCTACAATGAAAAGATTTACAAAATTTGTTTAGCCCCATTGTTTGTAAGGCCATAAATAATATATTCACTCAATATATC